CCTTCCTTCCTTCCTTCCTTCCTTCCTTCCTTCCTTCCTTCCTTCCTCCCTCCCTCCCTCCCTTCCTCCCTTCCTTCCTTTCTTCCTTCCTTCCTCCCTTCCTTCCTTTCTTCCTTCCCTCCTCCCTTTCTCCCTTCCTTCCTCTCTTCTTTCCTTCCTTTTCCTATACAATGTAGACAACATTCTTCTGATCTTTCCCTCTCTTTTTTCTCTCTCTCTCCTCTCTGTCTTTTCCCTAGGAAAGTAGAGGAAGGGGATAAACATTTATATAGCACCTACTATATACCAGTAAAAAGTAGCATAATGGTTATCCCATGACCCCATTCTTGGTGCACTATAGCACAGGGAACTGTCATGTACTTCTCTAAGGGAGGTTCTTGCCTTCACAGTAATGACCGTACCAGACTGTAGGCAGTCTAAGCCTGGACCTCAGCTAGGGCAGAGAGGGAAATGACCTGGTCCTGGGTCAGAGAGCAGCCTCAATCTTGCAGTTGGTTGGAATGATCTCATGAGGTTTGCATTCCACTCTTTGGGCCAGAAATGCTGTGGTGCTATGAGTGTATCATAATGTTTCCTGCCTAACATTATGAATCTTTTGGATTCCAAATTGCATCTGGTATTTGGGATATTCAGGAAATTTTTTATTTGGGTTGTATATCCCTGGAGTGGAGTAAATGAAAAACATTTGTGTCTATGTGGCTTGCTTGGTGGAAAATGTCAATACTTGGTCCAATTTTTTTGGACAAGGGATTAAGAATTTGAAGTCTGTTTTGGCAAAGGATTGGAACTCCTTGTTGAAGGCTTGGTTATATTCTGAGCTCTGCTGTTTATTTGACTTAGGAAAATTTGCTTTGGAAATGATGATTTAAGTATCAAAATCATTGTGGGAGGATTTCATAAGCAAACCTTTCTTCCCACGTGCCTAGATTATGAAATTGAAGGCGAATGGCCCATTCAGATTTACTGAAATATATGTCTATCTGGCAACCATGAATTTTAGAATTAGAAAGACATGTCAAAT